ACGGATACCATAAGATTGCCAAATTAGTACCATACGAATGCCAGACGATTACCATACGATTACTATGCGATTGCCATGCGAATGCCATACGATTACCATTCCGTTTACCACACGACGACCACACGATTACCACGCCATTACCATATGATTACCAGTCGAATACCATACGACTACCAAGCGAAAGCCATACGATTACCACACGAGAACCATACGAATACCACACGATCACCATACGAACACCATACGGCTACCATACGATTGCCATACGAATAGCATACGACTACCGTACGAACACCATACGATTGCCGTACGAATGCCATACGCGTATCGTTCGAAACCACACGATTATCACACGATTGCCATATACATACCGTACGATTACCATACGATTCCCATGCGATTGCCATACGAATACCATACGACTACCATACGATTACCATACGGTTGCCATACTATCACCGAACCGAGACAATACGATTACCATACGGAAGCCATACGAAAACCATACGAAAACCATACGAGTATCAGTTCCTGGGGGCCTGTTGGGAATCGTGGGAGGCCTCTTTTGGTGCCTCTTTGGGGGCCTCTTGTGACCTTTCGAGGGGCTCTTGGGAGCCTCTGGGGGCTGCCTAGGCGCCCCTTGGGGCCGAAAGCTCGAGATGTCCTTCGGGTCCCCCGCTCTTGGGCCCGTTCTTGGGCCCGTCTTGGGAGTCTCTTCGGCCATCTTGGAGGCCTTTGGGGCTGTCTGTGGGCCCTCTCTTAGCATCGCTCGGACGTGTGCATTTGTACTAGGTAAGAATCATCGAGGACCATCCTGGACCATCGAGCAACAAAAAACATGCACGAAACCAAAACATGCACGGGAAATGGACGTCCGAGCGACGGCAAGCTTTGGGGCCGTTTTTGGCGTTTTTGGGAGCTTCTTGGGCCGTGTTGGGGCGATCCTGGAAGCCTTTTGGGCTGTCTGACAGCCCCGGTAGGCCGAAAAGGCGAGAACGCCAAAGACCTTCACAACAATTACAGGAAGATCACAGATGTCTGCCTCTGTGCGCCATCTTGGGAGGTCTCTTGGAGCCCTTGGAGCCCTCTTGGATTGCCGGGAGGCCATCTTTCACGTCCTGGACAGTCTCGGACCGTTTTGAGTTCTCTTGGAGGCCACTTGAAACGCTCCTGGAGCGCTCTTGTGAGCCTGCTGGGACCTGCTCGGGACCTTGCCGGGGTACTTTTCGTCCGGGCACCCCCAGGGCGGCCCCGCGCGCGCGAACTAGAAACATTGTTAACCAGTTGCCGGAGATCTTAGCACGCCCTTGGCCCGTTGGGCCGGCGAACATGGGTGTTTTTCGTTTGCGAGCTCAAACCTCAAACCAAGTGTTTTGACATGGGTTCATGTCTCCCGTGGGCCGACACCATGGACCCCAAACAGCGCTTGCACTTACAGTGCCGTTTTGAATACATGCTCCACGTGCGGATCACGTGTTAACATGCAGGGATATAGTAATAAAAACAACGATGAGTTCATGCATACATGTATTCATAAATTAATCATGTACTAAAACATTATATGTTTAAACATCCTATGTATTACAAACTGCCCTGTAAGGGTTGTTGCAATTCTTCTGCGGACCTGGCGCCTCCGTGCTGGCCGTGGCCGCCTCATCGCCGCCCGTCGCTGTGCCGGTTGGCCAGCCAGGCGGCCCCTTTGCTGGCCGTCGCCGCCCAGGTTCGCTTCGTCGCCGCCCGTCGCTGCCGTTGGATTGCACCACGCATGCGGCACGATACCGTCGGGGCCCTGAAGAAGGAACCCTTTTCGTTGGGGAGGGGCTCCGCGTTCCTTAAGTGTTTCGCAGCTTGCCTCAGGTTTTCCTTACGTTTTCGATCGGAAATCGAAGTTTAACTTATGGAAAAAAAGGGGCCTCGTTCCTCATTTGGGGTTCCTTAGGTCGAGGCCCCGACTGTAGAATTGCGCCGCGCCTGCGGCGCGCTTTCTGATCGCTCACAGCACGGATTGCAATTGTACCGCATTTATTGCTTCACTCTAAGCCGCTTGAAGCGAAGAGTTCTTGTGCCCTAGCGCATTACTTTGTTTTGAGGCACGCGGCTCTCTACTTGTGTCTCCTTCTCTGGGCTCTCTATTTGTTTCGGCTTCTCCTTCTTTCATGGTTCCAAGAAGGCCCCCTAGGTTCCAAGAGGGCCTCAAGAGGCGCCCAAGGGGCTCCAAGAAAACTACCGAGAAGCTTCCAAAGGCTCCCAAGCGGTCTCAAAGAGGCCCTCAAGAGGCCTCAAGAGCCTCCACCCCGCCAGAGGCAGCCAATATGCTGCAAGAGGCTTTTCGAAACCATTTTGGCTCAAGGGTGCGCGGTACGAGTCTTGACTCAGAGCCACCCCAGGCTCGCAAGCGCGAGGGCTTGCTTGTTCTTGGTCTCGCTCCTGTTCTTTCTCCTGCCCATTCCCTTTCTCGACCCCATCACTGCTCGCACATATTCGCAAGAAGCCTAGGGCCATGGACGAGGCGTTGATCGGATGGTTGTTCTTCGGCTCGATGATTTTGTGGCGGTTCGTGTCGAGGACTGGCAAGGTCGACCAGGTCAAGATGAGGAAAGTATGCCGTTCTTGTACGCCGTTCCTGCAGTGGTACGCGATCACGGGGTTGGGGCTCGTCGTATCCATGGCCCGCACAATGTTTGACGTGTGGAAGTACGACTATAAAGGAGCTAATTACTTGGACCCAGCAGCGGTCGAGAAGCACATCCAGGGAAAAAACGTTGATGTCGAGGATTTCCCTCCGTGGTTGAGAAAGGTGTCGCTCGTTGCTCCCATGGTTGGCGTTGTCGGCTTCGTGATCTCCATGTGGCAGAGCTTGCGCCTGATTCGGGGCAGCCTGAGAGCCAACAATGCAAAGTATGTGAACCCCGAGGCCATACCAGAGAACAAGAAGGATTTGCTGCACAAGTGTATGGACCAGCTGCTGATCATCATCGGGGTGCCCCTAGTGTTCATCGTCTTTGCCACGCGCGCCCTCACGCGCCAGTGGGAGGTGATGACAGGGAGCTACTGCTGGGGCGAGTGTGTCCATCCGGTTCACACGAGGGCTCTCGTGTCCGACCAGTGCAAGTTGGACATGTATTTTGCCACGGCCTTCCAGTTCTACGCCATGTGGGAGTTCGGCGAGCTCGTCGGGCGCTTCATGAGCGATCACCGGCTGCAATGGAATGGTCCAGCCATTGAGGACGATGACCCGCAAGCCATCATTCTCAATTATCGTAAGACCCTCAAGTGGGCCTCCGTGTTGGGGTTGTTTGCTTTTGTGGGCATCGGTGCGCTGAAGTCTGTGATCGAATTTGGCATGACTGTCGCTCTCAATGTGCTGCCGACACAGAGCGTCGACGTGAATGAGAAAATGGCCCTGGTGGAAAAGAAGGTAGAGACTGTGTTCGCATTCGCTACTTTCCTCTGCGTGTTCAACATGATACTGATCAGCAACATGGCACCTCTCAAAGAAGCACTGGGCAGCAAAATCAACATGAAATTCCACGGAACCCGAACAATGTTGTTGGTCGTTCAAATTCAGCCTCAGGTCTTGAATTTCTTTGTGATCAAGTGGAGTATGATTCAGACCGCTCATTCACAATCCATGTCGCACAGCTGGTGGCAATTTTTGACCCACGAGCAGTCCATCTTGTTAAACGTGACCTTGGTGCTCTACTGGTGTTGCTTCGTGTCACTGGCGAACGCCATTATGTGGAATATCGACGACAAAAAGGTAGCACGCATATACGAAAAAGCGCTCCACCTGAAGCTCAGCTTAAGCGACAATGCCAACAACAGGCAGGGGAACGATGACCTGAGAAGGCCGCTGGTGTGAGCAGCCACCCCCCACGGGAAGCGGCGCTGGCGACGGGCTGCGCAATGCATTTTGTGACCGAGGTCGGCGAAAGGATTGGTGAACGCGCGCAGTTGGAGCGATCCCTCGTGGGGCTGACGCGTGCATTTACATTGGAGGGAGGAGAAGCGATACCGACACCGCCAGGGGGCCCACCTCCAGCGAGGAGGTCGACGATGCCTCCCCGAGCTGGATGCTTGGGGTGTCTCGAGCGAGAGGGGGGGACCACACCACCAGGGGGGCTCCCCTTGACTCCTCGCACCCCCTCGCCCTGCTGGTGTTGGCGTCGCCTTTCCTTGTCCCCATTACAGATTGTGCAGCGAGGCTGGCTCTCCCACTTCATCCATCAGCCTGACGGCACTCCATCCTCACTCGCCCTCTTTACACGCTCCCCTCCTCCTCCTCCTCCTCCTCCTC